AATTATTTTTAGAAATTACGCAAATGTTTGCTGAGACTTAGAACATTTTGAACAAGTTAAACTGTTTGGATTATTTTGAAATATGCATAATTTATTGGGAAACTCTTCGTTGGTCTCATGCTGATTATGGTCATGAAACCAACTCCGTTCTGTTCTTTCTCATGGAGTTTTCTGTTGAGAAAGGAATGACGTCTGGCGACGCACAGGGCATGTTTAAATGCTGCTGATAATCTTCACGTCCAACTCTTAAACATCAATGGCTCAACCACAACTGTTGTTTTCATTTTCTAGTTTTTGCTTTAATGAACAATAAACATGACTTGGTCGATTCGTGAGGATTTTCAAATACAAAACATATTCGTTGATCATTTACAAAAAATTGGAATAAACAAGCATTCTTATGACAGACAGGAAAATATGTCGTCGTTGGCGTCCACCGTCACAAGGCGTACAACATCCAACAAACAAAGAAGCTCTCGGCTATGAGTCGAGCGTGAAGAAGTTTTTCGACGGTGATTGGTCAGCCGTTCATGTCTTCGATGTTCGGCACGCTTTGTCTTCTGGGCACCCGCAGCAGCGACGGTGATGACGGTCGTTCATGGAATCCACAGGAGGCCAAAGGCAGGAACTACCGTAAGAAACATAAACACGATCACCCACATACTGTGGACCAAGAACGACGCGGCGTTGTTGCACAAGCTCTCGTGACACGTGCACAGCGTCAGCTGTTGGTTCTTCTGTATGACGCGATAATTGCCGGCGAACAGGTACTTCATCGGCAGATGCAGACATCGGTCGCGCGATGTCAATAGGTCTACGGTAGTCGTGTTGTAGTCAATTATGTCTGACAGACAACCTCTCATGAACGTGCGATGAACCTGCCCTAAAATTCGTAGATTAACAACCAGCCCTTTACAGTCCATAAACAAGAAGTTCATGGCACAGGTCCAAAACTAAGTGCAAACTCTAACCTCATTTCTGAAGATATAACTGAAGCATTCAGACTGACCACAGTTCCATGTTCCTTCCAGCTCTTTCGCTGTGATTTTTAAGCTTGCTTTTTGCTGATGCACAGTTCTTGGCAAAGCATTGGTGTTGTTTGGCACTCTCTTGCACTTGAATTCGCTAATAATTTGAAACAGTCGCCAGGGTAATACTCTGGCCTGTTCACGCAAACCTACTGCAACCCTGTGGTTTAAGCGTTGACTAAGTTTAGTTGTGCAGGGAACGATCAGTCTACTTCCGAACAGTTCGATTCAGACCGTCCTTCAATGCAGGGGACAGCGCTCCACGGTTACCGTAAAAAATAGCGTTATCATGGAGAATCACCATCCATGAAAGATCGTCGAAAAGCGTTTAACTCTATTTTTCTTGACATACGAAAATTAGACAAGGATTTGTACTCCTAGTATACTACTCTGAGACTGATTACTCGAAAGGTACGAACAGATCTGTCATGAATTTCGAAACGATCGGTTGCCCAAACAGCAAAAACAGAATAAAACGATCTCCTTATGTCAACAGCTGAAATCACCATTGGAGCAGATATCCTGAATTCAGTATTACATGGAAGATGTGTTTGTGTAACTGTTTGAATCATCAAAAGCCGTCTGAACAAAATAAACGCCCTGTTTTGTGAAATCCGCCAATTCGAGGCTTTTCAACACTTTTGTTGCTAGATACCGGTCACTGTATCGTAGAAGTTATTATTCCTGTCCGAAAGCAGGCTTTTCTGCACCCTGTTTCTCCATGATGCTTGATGGTTTCCTGGTGGACGTCGACCATATTTCGGTTCCCACACAAGAAGCTCATTGACTGTAAATGATTCATGCTCAGTCTTCAGTTTAGATAACAGCGTCAGTCTCAGAATCTTAATCTCCAACTCAAGCAGGTCACTTGTGCCTGAGAAAAATGAGAGATGTTCCTTAGGCAATCTAATACATTAATTTTTATTATTCCTCTAAGTCAATCACTCGGTCCACCTTCCACATTAGTCCCAAGGAGAAAATTTTGCAGCTTATTCATCAAATCGCCTAAGGTCTGAACAAGAGATGACGACTCATCAGCTGAAATGATAGAAGGTTCCTCCATGAGCATCAACATATTCATGCTTGATGGATAAATATGAAATGCAGCTATTGAAAGAGAACCAAAATTCGTTTGCATGGTGAGGAAGATGAAACGTACGAAAACAACGCTAACATATTTAGCAAAATGGAGCACAATATCTTTGCACCTCAGGGCAGTGAAGATATATATTATTCTTGAAATTGGCTTCAGAAAAGTTCAAGAATAGTCACACTGACAATGAACCGTCTATTCATCGCCACTCGTCGAAAAGGCGATGGTTCAAGAGCTTTATGGATCAAACTTCCGCTGGTCAGAATGTCGTGAAGCCATGCCATCTAGTGCGAAACTGCAAATCACCCGTAGTGGAGTCTGGATGACACCACTACATAATGATTGATCGGCGGAATATCCTTGAACAACCAGTTATTCAAGCTATGTAATGTCAGAGATGATCGCAATAGCAAACACAAAACTGCGGATATACATAACTTGCACTGTGAAAATCCTTCGTTATCCAGGAAGCGATTAAAATGAAGACTTGAAGATCAAGTGACACGATCTAGCGTTGAAATCTGTTGTAAAGGGGCGATTGGAATATCCAAGTAAAGACAATGATTGGTTCCAAGCAAGGATTAAGACGGTGAGGTGACTGCCAACGACCGGATGATAACCGCTTTGCGAGGTAAATGGGGAACGTTGCGTCTTACGGCAGGCGACCGCCACGAAGACCTCCAACAAAATGGGAAGATCTCATCCGGATTGACAAAGTAACGAAAGGACTGAAGGTTGAACGCGCATATGTTCGATCAGGTGGAATGCCTCTATGGCACCCGGCATCGTTTTTGATGCAATGGGATAAAACAAAGAATGCCCTTGTTATTGAATGACAGAAACACTGATACAAACAAATATTCCTGAGAGAACTGTTTTTAGTAGAATGTACATATATGGGAGACATTAGCAGTAATAATGGGCGGCTTCGAACTCTGTCGATGCCTTTATAGAATTTTGAAGACAGTTTTCTCAATCAGAAACTCGCTTGAGCAAGGAATTTCCCATGCATTCTTGAATGCAATTAACGGAGGAACGAATAGCAAGTCGTTGACTTGTGAAGAACGGAACAACGCACTGTTTTGATATGGTCATACAAGGATGATTTGCGAACATGCTGACTAAAATGAGCGTTTTTTAGGACTGTACTTTGTCTTTACCCGCCTGACACCTTAATATTTAGTGTAAATTCCAAAAATTAACCAAAAAAATCATCTTCATAACCAGTCGAAATATGGAGCATATTTGTTTAAGAAAAAACACCACATCATAAAACTAATGCATTCTCAAGAGGCGCTCGCACCGGACAGCATGGTTATATCTTTCACCCAACTTGGTATGATCGCACCAAAGTATTATGTTGTTCCTACGTTTTGTAAGTCAGTAGCTTGTTATTCTCTTCACAGCCAGCTGGACAGAGGAATTAGTGGCTTAAAGCATTTTTGCATTCAGTCCTGAACCCTCCAAAATTCGAATTTTACCTCATGGCACTGCGCCCACACTCC